TCTTCAATTACTCGAAAAGTGAAAGTTGCCGTATCAATGATTCTTTCAAAATTAGATTCTGAGATAAATTCTACTTTCAAATAAGTTGAGTTTCAGTGTAAAACAGAAAAATTATAAAAGTTACACGCATAAGAAAGTAAATTTTAATAAAAATTAGAACAATAGGCAAGATTAGAGATAACTTTTTGCAGAAACTAAAAATTTACAATGTTTTGCAATAATTAGATGTAACAACTAATATAGAATCAAATAAAGTCAAAATAATTCAAATCGCGTAAATAGTTTTCAAGTTATTAATTAATAACTACAAAGAAACATGTTGAGAAAATTATAACGAACAAAAAGCATGTATTGTTCCAGTAATTAATTAATTACTCTTAAACGAAACAATTTACATTAATTATTCTTTCACCAATTAATATTCAATTAAATATTACATTCACGGCTGCAAAGATTTAATTAATAAAATAATTACACACAAAGTTATAAACAATTAAACTTAAAATATTCAAAAATTTTACAAAAAATGCTCCATAATTTCCAATAAAAAATACTTATCAATCGAATATTTGCATCAATATATAAAGAATTTAATTCTTAATAATTCTCAAAAGAAATAATTAATTTATATCTATTTCTTTCCGAGTAATCAATGAATAACCTTCATCGCGATTATAATTATTGATATTATCGCAACAAGCAGTATAATGTGCATTGACGCAAGGTCTCCAAAGGCCCGAGCTACATTAGTACAAAACATGATGAGAGGGACGTTGCAGAGCAGGAGGGTTGCATTGTTTTAATAAGTCTACACACACATGCCCCGCCCGCGCGCGCCACCATTGATATTGCTTACCAAATCAACCCCCGAACGATTTGAATTGCAATATTGGGAATACAAAACGGGCGCAGTGTACCAACGCAACACGCGCGTATACGTTCCAGCGTACACAAAATGCATGTTTGATTATTATAAATTATTTGCGAACGCTTTATAAACGATAACACACACTCCCACCCACATCGACATCACATTTTGGACGCGGACGTGAAACTGCATTGAATATTGAATATTCGAGCCGGTTGCAATTTTAACACATTATCCAGCAATGAAATTATTATCCGCATTCGATATTGTTCTTGCCATTGTTGTTGCTTGCTGCTGCAGCGTATTATATGTGTAGTTAATTAACTATTGTACGCAAGGTAGTAGGCTCATTCAAACTTTCAAAATTAGCGCGCGCGTTGAATACGCGTTAGTTTAAATCGAAATAAAAACTTTTTCAGATAGATGAAATGGAGAAATTTTGATGCATGGAATTATTTGTTGGATTTTTAAAACAGTTATAATTATAATTTTATTAATTATAATAATTATTCAATTGCACGCATGTGCGGTTGGTTTGAAATTTCAGATTTGATTCGCACAAACGCATAAAGCGTAATCGAATGCAGGTGATTGCAAATTATGCGCGCGCGATCGCAATTAATTCGTATTCGCATTCGTTCGGCGCTAATTAGCAGCGCGTTTATCCGAAATGTGTGATTTAAATTTTCCTACTGCTATTTGCTTTCGGCCGAAGGCAAACGATGATGATAATAAAGCAAATATCAAATAAAATTCGGTTAATTTGCTACCGATTTAGCGTTAATATACTATTTTTCGAGCTAAAAATTCAATTTTTTAATATTTATCATCGATAAAATCATAGAACAATTTTGAAAGCATAAAATTCAATTAATTTGGTACCAATTTAATCCCAATAAACCATTTTTCAACTAAAAATTCAAATTTTTAATTTCTTTCCATAATAACATCACAAAATAATTTTGAACGCATAAAATTCTATTAATTTACTACCAATTTAGTGTTAATAGCCTCTATTCCAGCAAAAAAATTCAAAAACTTTTAATATTTGCCATCAATGACGTCACAAAAACAATTTTTGGCATCTCACTCAACATGAGCATTTATGAAATGCAATATTTCTAAAACGTTGATGATTAATGCACCGCGCTTGGCTATTTTTACGCGTCGCTCGCTGAAAGAATTTATGCGCCGGGTTAATAGGCTGAGATTTTTTCTCGATTTTAATTCCCCGAAAAGTATTCACAGCGCCATCCGCATTGCGACAACATTCAACACATCACACCGCACATAATAGTAATTTAACACACTCGCAAAGACGTAAACGCGCAAGTGTAAAACATTTAAAGTTCAGCGCTCAACGGCAAGCATTGGATCAGAAACATTTATATGTCTGAACAGTAATTACTGATGAGGACGCTTTAAATATTAAAGCACGTGTACATGTACACGTGTTTTACTGATGACTGCATTTATTCTTTCTTTCCACTTGAGAGTTCGTTCGGTTTTTCTGCGCCTTTTTTTAATGTGCATGTTTTATACTTATACCTGCAATTTACGTATAGTTACAGTGGCATTAGATGATATTTTAGTAGGAGAATTATTTTTTTAGGTATTTTTATAGCAATTTGAAGAAAAATTTTGTTAAAAAATAATGAAAGTTTTCAGAAATTATCAAATATCTTTGGATAAAAAATATTTTCAATAAAATTTTTACATAACTAGATGCATAATTTATCACTAAACTGATTAATAAAAGAATTATGACTGTAACTTGATTAGTTTTCGAGTTATTAATAAAAAAACTATGAAAATTCAGTTTTTTTCCGCGTCGCGTAACCGCAGCGTGACTATATACTATCTACTCGTACTTGGTGGTTACTAGTCGAGTTGCATTCAGAAAGTTATTTTCTTGAATCAGTGCCTCCCCCATTGAAACCCCCTGCGTCCATGTTTAGCCATGAAATATTCGCGTAAATTGCATCGCGAAATAAAGCAAGGCGTCGACAATCTCCTAACGACCGACGCGCGCGCGTGAGTTTTAAACAAAAGACGCAAACAGCTCCGACAGCATTCATTCTAATAAAAAATAACGCGACGCGGATTATGTATTTCATCCTCGTAGATATATTTTCATTAATTTTTATCGTCGTCCGCGACGCGGTCTCTTCGAAACATCGGTTTTATGTTAAAGTCGACACATTAACTTTAAATTGTGTCGTTTATATTACGAAAGGGACTGTTTTCCGTATGAATAAATTATTATCCGCATTCGAAAACGAGCGGTCGTCGTCGCCGCGCCGCTGCGTGTGGTAATTGAAATTTCTACTTAAAAAACTCACCATTAGTCGAATGAAAACAAATAAAAAACTAGACGAGCTTTTCGAACCAACAACTGATTTCATATTCTTCAACTCATCATATAAATTTTCATTTTTTAAGCTGAGAAATTAGATTTGTGATTTTTATTTAACAAAAAAACTATAAACATACGATAATTGTAGTAATAAATTCAACTAGTGGTGTGCACTATCTACCCAAATTAGCAGCATTGCATCCGGTCGAGTTGAATATTCAATAAGTAATTTACATATGAAGAGCTTGTTTTTACGCGAATCGTCTCATAAAGTAAAGAATCTTTTCCCGCATCCGAGGGATTAACAAAAGAATAAATCGCGTACAAGTGTACCAGAGCACCGCCACACAGCGACAAAGCCGAGCAACATTATTCGCTCGCACAAAGGTCCCGGCGTGCAGTCATACACTGTGGAAAAAATCGACAAGCACCAGAAAGAACCGCAAGAAGTGTACCCCTGAAAGGAAACTTCCTCACTCGCCTTTTTCTGCCGTCATTCATTGCTAACTTACTCGGAAGTCTTCTTCGATCTATAAATTAGCTACACTAGAAAAATTCCATCTAAATCTATTCACATCCTCTTAAAATTACCTCATTTATTGATGTAATCTTAATAATTTTGTAAGTATTTTAATAAATGTACAAGTTATGATTATTAAAGATAATTTGCAACAGTCTGTAGATGGAAAATGAAAACATGAGTTTCCAGAAAAAGAATAAGTAGCAAAGGAGGAAAAAAACGCCTTCTAAGAACTTCCTTCCATTAAGGTAGCGGTTTTACAAATGACTTACTTGCCTCGGACAAACACAAATGTCACTTCTACCCCGTCTGCGTATTATGTTTTCGGTATGTTTTTTTTTTCTTTTGCATTTATCCGAGTCGCGCTAAGAATCAACAGAAGATAAGCATGATAATAAAAAATGCTTTCATCTGCTCGAAGCCCGAAAATAAACTAAATATATTAGACTAGGAAAAAATTAATTCGCAGTGGCTACTATTGTCCATCAAGAAATTACCACCAAAAGAAAATTTGTTTTTTCTTAATAGAAACATATGTAAAAATTACTTATTATTATTAAGAAAAATATTTTTTTAGTTTTTCTTATATCAGGTGACGAGAAAAACGCGAAAATTTTTTATGCAAGAAATTTCATCAAACTTTATGAGTAAAATATATTTGTAAATGTGATGTGATGAAAAAAAGACGTTGGTGGTCACTACATGTTCCTGATTCTGAATTTCTCGTTGTACAATCGCGGACAAATAATTTGTGGTAGCGGCGGTGAAAGTTTTTGGTCGTTTGCACAATCGTGACGCGCTTGTTTCCTACTCCGCCGGCTCCAGCCGCCCCAACATCCGAAATTGTTGCATGTAATTTCATCTGAATCCGAGGAGAATCGCCCGAACGCAACGACTGTATCATCGCGCACCACGGAAACTCACTCTCGGCGCGCAAGTACGCGTAATATGAATAAAGTATGATTGCGTCGAGCGCGCATTATCAAGACCAGCGGGTGGTGGCAATCAACGGGCGGCCACCAAACGACAAATCATTGCGCCTCGGCTTCGAAACCCGAAACATGATTATCTGTCAGGACGCGTCCGTGCGACGCCTTTTTTGTCGTGCGTTTCGTATTTAAACGGAACGCCTACGAGAGATTAGGAAGAAGATTGTTCTGCCAGAGAACCAGGGAAATTCGACAAAATCATAATCTTAAGAATACCGTTTGCAACAAGAGGAAAAATGTTGTAAATTATTGAAAGTATTATCATACCTGGACAGTTTTGTTCATCCGTCTTATCTTGACAGTCGTAGTGGCCATCGCAGCGTTGACTTTCCGGAATGCAGCGGCTAATATCGCAGGAGAGTTCACCAACAGCACATGCTAGAAATCAAAACAAAAGTTAAAATCCACACAAAACAATGGCGAAAACAATTGTAAATACATATTCAAATATTCACACCTAGCGTTATTAATATTACCTGTAAATACAAGTCACTAATTACTACAATTTTTATTACAACTACTAAAATGTTGGTTTCGGTTATTTAAGGAATAATACTCGTGTGTTCACTCGGAATCAAAACACTACAACTGCGTTGTTGTTAATACCAGCAACTCAACATATCTCGATCTCGATCGTTATCGGGTCGAGCGCACGCATAATATTTACGTTTCGTGAAACCGCATTTGATATCATCCTCGTCTTCGCCGTCGGGGCAATCTTTTTGACCGTCACATTCTTGATCAGCGCAAATAGACACAACGGAGTTTTCGCACTGGATTGCGTCATCGGCGCGACATCTGTTGGCGGACGGCGGCACTGCCGACGACGCAGTGGTAGTTGTCGGTACGGTAAAGTCTACTTCGACTGGATCATCTTCTGTTTTCAAAATTCGTAAAGATAATCATAAACAAATTCGTTTATCATGATTGATTAGTACGAAGCAGCGGTGAAGCGATTGCAGCAGCGTTCAGCGTCATTGTTGAGCAGCTTGAGCTTCAGCTATATTTTTCTAGAATGTTTTTTAATCACCACCAAAATATATGTACAATATTAATTTCTTTGTGTCCAAAACCTTTAGTTCCAAGAATCTACATAAGAAACTATCACGTATTGCATAAATATATCACCATTACCTTTAAATAACCAATATAGGCAAATTTGAAGCATAAAATATGTACAATTGAATAAAAAATAAAATAAAAATGAAAGAAATCATACCGAAACAATTTTCCTCATCAGTGCCATCTGAACAATCATTGACAGAATTGCAACGTGCTTCAATTGGTACACAATTACCATCTTTGCATTCGATTTCATTGTATGCACATAACTTAGGTGGTTTGCCTTTGGAAACAATCAAATAAATTAAAACAAAATAAAACAAAACGTTTTACAAAACAAAAAATGAAAAAATCATTACCTTCAAACTCCTGGAATTGAAAATCGTCTGATTTCACAGGCAAACTACCAATTGCATTAAAATTGTTAATTTGATCTTCGAATTTACGCCGTAATGCATGCCCATTGTTGAAATGTTCACTCTGAAGGTCAACTGTGACCAACGAAGAGAATAAATCTTCTTTACGTCCCCTAAAATCATAAATATTTGTGTTAATCATAAAAATACATTAAAACAATGCTTATATTGTGTACTTACTGAATTTTAACAACAGATGATGTTTGATTGCCTTCGAAATTTTTGTAGAGTTGATCAACATTGTCAACAATCTGCTCTGATAGTCTTTTATATTCTTCTGGACTCATATGTTCACTGAAGGGTTCCATCAATGTGAAACGTATTCTATAATATGCTGGATGTTTAGGTTCATTGTAATCTGTGTCTTGTTCACCAGAATGATGACCGGAGTTGTCAAAGTTGTCTTCATCATCATCAAATGCACCCCTGCAATATAAAATATGTTTAAATGTAAATATTAATACATTATAATGTAAAAAATAGAAATAACTTACCCTGTTGGACTTTCATGATAGTTTTTATTGCTGCTATCAAGCGCGAGTACATCATAGTCCTCATTCTCATTCTCTCGAGACTCTAACTTTTCATTCGAGTCACCTTCAACGAACTTCTGCGATTGTCCATCCAGTGAGTTATCGATGTCTGGCTCCGGTGTGGTAGTAGTGATGGTGTCAAAAAAATCAAACAATCCTCGTTTAATTCGATGAATCGACTTGGTGAACCAATGATCGTGGTCTGCTTCTTGACTAGATTTACTATTTACATAGGGTAGTGATCTGCTTGATCTGGCATGGTGTGCACCGTCGAATGTTATATCATCTTCATTCTAAACCGAAAAACAAAGAAAAACACATTAATAACACGTTCTAATGGCTTACAAGATAATTATGTGTCTGGCAATTAATGTCCTGACAATTAATATAATATATTTCGTGTGGTAAGATGTACTTAAGTAAAGTCACGTAGAAAGTATTTGCATAAACATGAATAAATAGTTCCGCGCTGAGTTTTCATCTTTCGTGTCGTCTAGATTAGTGTCCCTTTTTCGTAAGGGGACGCAGAAGACGCTTGTTATAACATGAAACTTTTACTTTATTTGTGCAAATTTGTTTTTCAAACAAAATGTCGCCGCGGCGCGCGCTGAATTTTAAAACGCCGGCGAGGTGGTGGTGGTGGTGGGTGTGTATGCAAAGGGGACTGCGGAGAAGGCTCATAGGTCATCGCATTACGAGGTGTCGGGAAGTTAAGGGACGTCTTAAAGGAGATCGCGTGCATCGAATAACAGACACATTATTATCGTTATTATCAAACCGAGCGGCGCGCGGGCCGACCGCTTGTGTTCTTACACGAGCCTCATATTCTTCACCCCCAACCACCCTCCTCTGCAAGAAGAAGAGAGGTGAAACGTGCGGCGCACAAACGCGTTTTACCAGCCTGACGACGTTACCGAAACGTTTCGCTATTATGGGCACACGAAATGCGGCGCGACGCCTAAACTCTACCTTAACCACCTCAACAGGACGATTGAGGTGTGGAGGGAACGAGAGCAGGGCATGTAGGGTATATATTTATTTACGCGACGCTCAGATTTCGCAGGCGAGCGCATGGCAATCCCGCAGTCGCTACTAAATCGTCGCTCCAAGATGTGCCCCGCCGCCGTCGCCGCCACTTTCGCGTGTTGGCATTGTTGACAACGATGTTGGGACCAACGCGCAACTTGATAAATGCCAGGCGGTGGATGCGACGCAAACGTTATTTTCGCGCGCTTGCAATTTAATCTTCTGCCTTGCACTTTCAAATTTTCGATCGAAAAATTCTCAAATCTATCGAATTTTATGATCGAAAAGCGCAAGCACTTACATCTAAACACATTATAATAATTTTAAAAGCTTCATCATCAAATTTCCCGCCACACTTTGTGCGAATATTTTATGTAAAACAGATATGGCTGCATTCTGCATTGTGTACGAAAGTTGGACGCATGCCTGAATTCAAACATTATAAACGTAAAGTTAAAGTTGCAAGCACATGGTTTCTCTCTGAAACTGAATTTTTGGAAGCCGTTGGAGGAGTGGAGCCGTAAAAAAAGTTTATTTATGATCGCTACATCGTTGCAGTTGTTAAATAAGAATAAAACAGCGCCGTTCTCTAGTTGATCTTCTGGTTTTCATGATATACTCGCTTCTTCATTTCTCACTTTTTCGTGGTGTTTACACATTAAATAAAGCAACGCGCCGCCGCGTTGATGAAAGGACTCCTTATGCATACACTATAACTATACGCATACATCAATCAAGTTAAAAGAGGATCTGTTTCCATCATAAGTGTTTTTGAAGTTGGAAGTAGCTGTTAATTATCGCACAAATTGCCTACTTCACTGCATGGATTTTCAAAAAGTTGAAATTTGAGGTTAAGATCGCTTTTTTTCCATTTTCCATGAATTTATTTGTTTTATTTTATTTTAAGTGTATTGTGTATGTGTGTGATGGTGTGAAGCTTTGGTAATACGAGTTGGCGAGAAGATTGTGCGGGGATTCCACATTTCGAACAACCACCAATACCATATTGTGTCTGAGACGCAACAGCTCGCAACTTGGCGAACTAGAACTACTTACACTCCCACAAAGAAATAACGCACGAAACCGCAGAACTCATATGTGCGGCGGAGTCGACCAGGGTGTGAGGTGGGGCATAGAAAAACGAGAAAAAAAAAACGAAAGATTTTGAGACTTGCGAAGAAGAAGAGACGACGAAGACGTCGACGGCGGCGGCGTCAAGTTTTGAAGGCGAAACGACTCGAAAGTCTGAAGGCGTAGTATGCATGAGGCGTGTGGCCGCAAGCCGCCAGCCGTGCCTCATCTTCTTCGGGGATCCCTTCATTCTACTCGTTGTAACGATCATACGCCGCTCCGGAACGCCAAGGTGTACGTGATAGCTTTATAGGGATTTAATACCGATTCTTAAAACACAAGTTTTCCAACAAAGCGCGGCGCGTGTGGGGGGTCTGCTTTTCGCACCATCCTCCGCTCTTCAGAGCCCACAGAGATACTCTTTAACTAAAATAACTAAAAACGAGACTCGGAAATACATTGACATTTGACGATTTGACATATCTAGGTCCCACACACACAGAATAACAACAAAAATGTTCATTTCTTGCGAAGGGGACAATCACACACAACAATCACAACCTAACGAGTTGATTATCATGATAAAATTAAGCGTTGTTCAACAAACAACAAACAAATACCATACTACGGTACCTCGTTTGTACTTTAACGTACAAGTACAGATCGATGGGGAAATATCTAGATTCCGACCCTAGACGATCACAGAATTGTTTAAGGTATTGTTTAACTCGAATTAAGGCTAGCTACGGGGCTCTTTCTTATATGAAACCTCTTTGTATTTGAGTACCTTATACCCCTACATGTGCACACAGTAATTTGGCCATTGTTTGATTGGTGGTTTGGTCATTTACGTGCCATTGTCGTTGGTTTAAAAGCATTTCCCATTACTTACACTGTTTGGACAACGAGCGCACACTTAGAAAACGTTACGTACGGGGATCACGTAAATTAATAAATAAGAATAAGATAATAAAAACGGATAAAAGAAACAGAAACAAATTGAAATGTGTGCCGGAGTGGACGGACGTTATTTGCTGATGGCTTTATGAATATTACAAAAATTACATGGTAAATAAATTGTTTCGTATTTTTTCGTTGATCGTAGATAATCACTGTTTACATATTCAGTAATTCTAATCTTGGACAGTGCGTAGTTTTGACTTAAGATACATTGACTTGGCAACAATGTGGATTCATCTAAATGTCGTGAACACACGCGTTGATTGTAAATTAGCCATTTAACTCGCAAGTGGCATCAATTGACTCTTCTACCCAACATCATCAGCTTGAATCATAAATCAATATTTCCATCCACTCGCTCCAGCGATACATTTTTATCAGCCTCAAAACTAAAATGTGATAACTCATCATTTAATGTTTGTGTCTATCACATCATAAATTAAGAGAATAGATGTCAATTAACAGCCTTCAACTGTTGATACTACAAGCGATAAATGCATGAATATAGTATTCGCTAAAAATGAAACATTCATTAAACTTAAGCAACTCGGTAACAAGATTCAAATCTGTAAATTTTTGATCTGTGCGAAAATGACGAGAAACAAGCAGTCACGTTCCGCATGATAAAATTCGTTTATACGTGTACGAGCCAGATCCGCAAGTGGTAAATGGTAAGTTGGTAAGCATCTGCAACAGCAGGAACCAATATGTGTATGTGTGTGGCGCAACTGGAGGTCGAGGAGATATCATAACACTTGTAAATATTCACGAGCGCCCGTTTTGCAGCCAAGGCAAGCCAAGGCGGTGCCTCCTCAACCCTCGACCCAATATCGCATGCGAAACCCGAGGAGCGCATGTGAATAACCACGCGCGCCGAAAAGATCATCTCGGAATTCGAATATCTCTCGCGTTGCACCGACTGCCGCATCTCCAGATGTAGGACTATAGAGGACTACATCCGTACAATCCTAGCATGTGTGCGGGGGTAAACATCTTACAGAAAAGCCCACTGTATCTGCTTTATTTATGATGCGAAACAAACTAGAATGAATGAACGGTATTCAAAAGACGTTAAACTACTCTTATTCTAGCCGGAAAATAAAAATAAAAATCCACGCTTTTATCAAACTCAATTTAGAAGGCATTAATATCAGATTTAACACTTATAAGGCTTGAAGCACTACACAATGAATCCAGGTTAAAAGTCCTGCACATTGTGCGTTTGTGGATATTGTGTCATTGGATCAATTCGTGCACAATCGGATTTGATTCGAATGTAAAGTGTGTCCCACTCCTATATCAAGCTTTGTTGCAAAAGAGAAAACTTTTCATGCATATTTAACGTATGCTATTATAAGTTTTGGAAAATTTCACAAGCATAAGTGTAGAAAACGGCGGCGTACAACTCCGTACTCCTTAGTAAAGCTTAAGAAAGTAGTCGAAGGTTGTGTGCGTCGTGGGGTGGAAAACGTTAGAGGGTGTGATGCGGAGGCGGCGCGTAATTTGCTGCTAATATGATCAATCTGGACGGTCGTTCGCATGCTGGACACGTAGACACTATTCTCACCCTACTCTCACCCTTAAACTCCAGCGGACGCTCACATTTACACACTTACTTCAAGCTTATGCCTTGGATTTTTATTTTTTACAGGTTGTCGAAAAATTTAACTTTTTCCAAGTTTTTCTTCGTTATTATAATCAAAATAATTACCAAGTTAAAGGTAAGGTTAGAAGATATTATGTGTTTAAGGTTTGCTGGCACGTAGGAGATGATGTAACATACCAATGAGAATAACCCGGCTCCTCCACCACCCCTTGTACACAACGTGTGCCCAAACGAGGCACAGTAGACCTATAGCAAATTCCAAATTACCGCGGAGACTTGTTACTTGTTACTTTCGGAATTATCGCTTACAGCAACACAACAAGCTGAATGCCGACGAGTATGCACAGAGTTCAATTAGATGATAGAGAAAAGATACACGGGCCATACGCGTAGAAAGGGTTGCGGATAAAAATTAGAACAAAAGGTACATGTTCGGTGCGTAATTCGAAACACTTTGCCATCCAGCCGACACAACATGCTTTTAATAATTATATAAGCGAACAAATAACCGCCACTAAAATAAAGGGTGAAAAGGTCCAGGTCTGAGTCCATCAGGACCTGGCGTAAGTAATTTAATTAAAATTCTACCAGATGTAAGCAAGGGCGGGTTGTGATCATTTACAAATTGTA